TTAGGCATCCGTCGAGTGCTAGGTAAGGAGGGAAATCAATCGACGAGGCTGTGAAGTTACACCGAGTGAGATGGTCAGGACATGTGTTACGTATGCCCGTCTAGTCATCGCCTTCCTCGACTGACCAACAATGTTAGCTGACATAGGGTCAGACTGGAAAAGAGCTAGCCAGCGGCAGTCAAACCAAAACATGGAACCAGTCAATGAAATCTACAACAGTTAGTCTAAGCCAAATAGGAAGGTGTAGACTTCCTGGTTGGCGTTCTGGGGACGGTAAAAATCAATGACAGCTGGAAACAATTGATGATATGGCTCAAAATTGTTCTCAATGCCTGTCGCAGATGCATCCACTCCTTGTGACTTATAATTTCCAGTGAAACTATATTGTTCTTCGTTATTACTACTGCTTTGTCTCACACCTGTGTTTACTGTCTCTATTATGCATTTCTTCTACTTTCATCTCTTGCTTTGTGTGGTACATGGAGGGAGTGTGGCGACTTGAACTGCCGCACATATGTGCAAAGTTCTATGCCGAAAACAGACATACAGACACAAACTCGAAGACTTAGAGGTAAGCGGAAACCAACAAACTGGCAGAAGAGCCTGGCTGGCAACAAAGACAGGACTGCAGGATAACATAAAGAGGACGGAGGTGATGAAGATAACCGCAACAACGACAACCATAGCTAATCACCATCAACGGGAGAGATTTCACAGAGGTTACCTCCTTAACTTATCTAGAAAGCATCGTTTCAACTCAAGGCGGAACAGATAAAGATTTCAAAGCCAGATAGCCAGAATCGGAAAGGCAAGATACGCCCTCATCAACCTGAAACCAATTTGGAAAGCTTCTGCACTCTGCATCACAAAGAATGAGACTCGGATCTTCAACACCAATATAAAGTCGGTTCTTCTATACGGATCAGAAACTTGCACTGCATTTCACGAAAAGGATTTCCAACAGCCTGCTACAGACTTTTATCATCAGCTGCCTTCGCTCTATACTGAAGATCGAATGGCCGGGTGAATTAGTAACAAGAAAATCCGGAAAAAGACCAACCAACCAATAGCCGATCGCCCAACATGTATGTAGGAGAAAATGGAGATAGGTCGGTCGGGCATGCATTGAGGAAACCGTCAAACGACATCGCGCTTCAGCCAGGCCATCGTTCGAAGGTAATCCGAATAGGAAGCGACAGTGGGTCGTTAGTGCGAGGGTGACATGGAGATCGTGTGGCCAGGAAGAGACGAGAGATTATCGGCAATCGTGGACCCAGCTGAAGGGGATGGCAGGATATAGAAAGTGGAGATGTATGGTTGAAGCCTTAAGTCCCACTCGGAACCCAAGGGAACATTAATATAATAATACGCATATTAGGATTTAGTAACTATTATTCCTAATCGTTTTATCGACTCGATATGGTTAAAGGATAACTATATGAGCATATATGCTTCTACATATCTTAATGCAACGAAAACAACGCACTACTTCAACCACCATCATCACACTTCCGTAGAACTGTACAGTTGTTACATGTATGACTTCACGGACCCCAGATATTTATTATCTAATCGCCCCCTCTATTACACCACAACTTTAAAATTTCAGAATAGGTAAGAGGTCAGTTTTTCAAACAGCTTTGTAGTTTGATGCCCAGAAAGCAAAGCACTACAATACGGCCATTTTAGCTAATCCCAATGCTCAAATAAGAAAACCATGCTAGTCAGAAAAGTAAGTGTGACACTTGTGGAGTACTATACCGACGAAATGACATATGTGTTCAGGTAATCATCTGTTGCTCGTTGTGTTTAACTTCAAATATAAGAGAGATTGTCTCACTTAGTAGCCTTCATAACTAAGTCAATTATACAATATATAAATGGCTGTGGACTACGATTGAAGAGGGTCTCTGGAGAACTCCTTCTGGTCGCTCGACGAGATCGTGAAGTTGCATCTATTGAGATGGCCAGGCTAGACGTTGTACATGCAAAACCACAGTCATTGTTATCTAGAAGTGTTAACTGACATCGGATTAGATGAGAAATAGTTGGTAGTTGCCTAATCCAAACCCGGTATCAATCCATGACATCTCTGACTGTCGATGTGAACCAAATAGGCAGGTGTGGAATGCCTAGCTGGTGTGTTATGAACTGTTGGTAACATGACCGAAAATCGTTCTGAATAATAATAATTTACTTTATTCCAAGAACAGTACTTGTGATTCACAATGGAATTTTCAGCATTAATCACACACAATATTGCATCTAATTTCCTCAAATTATAAATAAAATTAATCACACAGAATGTTTTCCACATTTACAATAGGGGTAATGTCAGAAACACGCAGCATATAAAGTGGAAATAATGACAATAGTGATAACAGCTAAGGTAATAATAACAATACGAGTGAAAAATTGCCGTGGGCTTGTTTCACACAGTATTGTCAATGCGGTATAGAAATCTTAGCTTGTTTAAAAATTATTGAACATAATGTTCTCTTTACATGATATGGTGAGGGGAAAAACAAGGATTACAGCAGTCATAGAGATAAGTTGGTGTTTGCAGTTATGAAAGTAAAACAAACAAAGAAGCAACAGGACCATAAATATAATAGAAGTACTAAAAGTAAAACTTGAAGGTATATAAGGATGGATGGATGGAGGAAATTGTTTATTTACTAGATGAAAAAAGGTTAGTTAATTCTTGCCTGACACTATTTTCATCACATAAAATACGTACCAAGTATGGTATCATAGAATTTTCATACTTAGACGTGCGAGCATACAGTTTCCTGAAGTTACTTCTAGTTCTACCTGAGGAGGAGATGCAAGGTGAAAGCTGAGGGTAAGTAAAGTGGATGCTCCAAGTCAGACAACATCCCTTTAGCAAATTTACTGCACGAAGTCAAGTGCCTATCGACAACGACGTTAACTATGTGGTCCATTGGGACACCACAACTCGCCTTACTGACAGTCTTCAGAATTCTACGAATTGTGACAGTCTTTTTTAAGCAAACCAGGAAAGAATAAGGGTGAACAATAAAGAAGAATGGGTAGGATGCAAGAGTTTATGAACTGTAAGAGGGGTTCAGTTATACCTGAGTGCCTTCACTTCTCCATGTAACATGTCATGCGGAATATTTTACTGGAGATCGCTAAGACATGGGAAGACCAGGAGTTCGGAAGACAGAATAAGTCCGAGACACATCATTTCTGATTTAATTCCTATATCATTGTCGTCAATCTTACAAATGTCATGAGAATCGATGACTTCTTTTGACTCTTCTACATCTTAAGCTGAAATTAACAGTTTGACATTTAGAGGGATGCAGTTTAAGACCGTTAGGCTCAGGCCATTTACTGACTCCAGACAGAAAGCTATTTATTTTAGTGCAATCTAGATAGGAGTTAACAGCCATTGAAACTGTTAAATCATCAGTGTACTTCAAAGTTTATTTCATCAGTTTATCATCATCATGCAAGAAAGAACAGAGAAAAGGAGAAAGGACAGTGCCTTGAGAGACACCAGCTTCAGCAGGCAATGAGGTGGAAGACTTCCCTTTGTACACGGTGTACTTTCTTTCTGAAAAACGTTCTGTTTGACTTGCAGCAAGTTTGCTTAATAAGATGTCCCTAGGGACCGAGAAAGCACTCATATCTAAAAGTCATATTGTCTCTACGTAACAAATAGTAAATTCTCCAGTTTCACGAAGTTTATCAGTATGACCACCCTTTCGGGCATCATTCTTTGAGGAACCACTCCTCTACAAGGCGTTATGTCCTTCATAAGAAATTTGCATCTAGATTAAAACCGCGGATATTGTTTCTACTACCGAAAAAAATTTGTTATGACCCGCCACAACCAATGTTTAACTATCTACTTGGAATACGCGACTTAACATCCCTACGACTAGATAGATATTTCCATGATTTACACGCGATAAAATTATAAGCTAGCACATGTCAAATTCCCCACCTAAGGTCCCACAGTAAAATGAATCTTGCCTCCTTTAATAATGCGACACGAGTTACTTATTCGGTAGCATCCAAAATGCTGTGAGATCCAGGTGACTCGAAATATATTTGCGAAATAGTGATCCAACCCATTGTTTTTTTGGAGTCGAAAGTACTTTCTATCCCCCGCTGCACGTCTTTTAAAACAATTTCCTGCTCATTCATTTAAGCGAAACACCTCTTACGCTATAACCAGTCTGAATGATGAACTCCAGCCATCGTGGTGTAAAGATAGCATACATCAACTTTTCTCCTGCGCATACAGTTGCAGATAACAACGCATACTGGATGACATTGACAAAACCTGCGACTCCTGAAGGCACTCGAAATGTTCACTGCACAACCAAAACTGATCAGTAAGTAACCAATAATGACCACACACAAGCCTCAAAAATTTCCTTCAAGGTACACACTGTGAACACTAATCGAAGCCCAAAGCTCAATACAATGTTTAGAATAGTGATTTCGCCGTGATGTCTGCAGACCCATATGAAAAATGTCCTACGTCTACCAAGACATCTTTGACTATCAGGCATAACCGTAATTAGACTAACACTTAGCCTTATTCCTAGTAAATCGTATTCCATCCCATCTCCTTGTACCCAAGCGAAATTAATATCTAGGAACAATGAGGTCAGGCACGAGTCGTCACGGACAAAATCAGACAATACCCTATTCCACTAAATTGCACCATGTAACATTCCACTTACCATGCAGCCTTCATGTATGACCAGCACAGCCATAACAAGAGAATGTTAACGCTTAAAATCCCGACGCCATCGTGTACTAATATCTGACTAGGGACGCTGACGTCTCTACGGTATGACAGGCTTCTCGGTCATCTAACAAAAATGCGCGTTAACCACCAAGCAACTAAAGCCTTTCCGCACCTTTGACCTCACAAACGCGAAATAGGTATCATTAGTATTTTGCACGCAGGTGCCAGTTTCCAGAAATCAACAAAGTGACCAATTAACAAACTTTATTTAGTATATTCTGTAAGGCTTTCCCATTGTACTCTTGATATACAGACATCGAACGTTCTGCCAGTTCTTCTTCAAAAGTGATACCAGGAAGTTGATTGACAAGTTGATGTTTTGTGCCAACTCTGCTGCAGTCATATTCACGTGGCCGACAGCAACATTTAGGCAGATGACCTTTTTCATCTGAAACTTCACAGTGGACTTCACTTCGTCAATCTTTTGAGCCAACGGCTCATTATGCGTCACAACAATAGGGAACCTGCCGTATTTGCTCAAGATTGGACCTATGACCCTGGTGAATTGACGAATAATAGACTCGCTCCCAAGGAAAGCGTGGTAACTCTTAGCTGCAAACATTAGTTAAAATCCTAAGCTTACCTAGCTTTTTCAAAGGTTTCTTCTCTTTGCCGAACTTTTTCAGGTCCTCAGCATCCATGCAAGGGATATTTGCATTCTTAGCCTCATCACAGTGCTCCTGATCTCCAAGCACACACACAGTCATCTTTGGACGGGGGATGTGCTTCAATCTATAAACAAATACAACTTACAATGTACGGCCAGTGGCCTCCCCACAGAATATTAGAACCCTGGGTTGGGGTTCGCAAACTCACCGTACAGTCCCGGCGAACCTCTTATCCTTCTGCGGGTCATAATTCTTCAGAGCGATCTGCAATTCTACTGTCTCGGTGAATTTCCTCTTTTTGGTCTTATTGCTATACTCCAAAAGGTCAGCACACGACCTGAGCAGAAGCTCCTTTGGTACCTTACTGAACGAAAAGAACAACACTTAGTCTTTTGCAATGAAAAAGTTAATGTCAGAACTTCTTAGAGGAAAGTGATCATGTATCTCCAAAGATTTGTCATCATAAAACATCCACCACGTACTTACCTCATGCTCACGCTTTAGTAAACTGCAACCGCCAACTGATATCCACGAACAACTTAAACAAAAGTTCACGACCAAACATCCAATTGTTCAATCTACAAGTATCCACTTGCATCCTACATCACTCACACGAAAAAAAGAGACTTTAATACGAAATCCTCATGTTTGTTTCTAATTGTCATCAATGCTTTAACAGACCATATCAAAACTCAAATTTATACATTAGTAACACTGACCAATATCTTTCTACGAAAGGAGAATGTCATTTCACTCTCCATAAATTCCTTGATCGCTTTCATTTTGAGAGAAAGTTCAGGGAGCTGAATGTTTAGACCCAAATATATCTTGCGTTAATCATTCGTGTGAAAATCTTTTTTACATTATGACTTCAATTTCCTATCCGAAATGCTTCCTCCGTTTCCAGTGAAAACAAGTTGCGGGCGACGCAATGCATAGTAAGGAAACTTCTCTTGCTCACTCCGTATCACTTAGACAGAAGGTGTGCAACTGTTTACAGAATCTGGATGAATTCTGTAGCCGACTATCTCCCCGGCAGTTTATCTACTCATAATCAGACCACACTAAATTTGTCAAACTCGGTGCTTATCGTGAATTTTTCAGCTGACTGCTTGCACACCCAACAAAACCTATATGATTCCCTTTCAGGGACGGGTTTCTTTTATTCACTAAGAAGCATCTAGTTGTCAAAACTTATCCAGATAGCAGAAGATACGTGCTATCCCCTAATAGATCGTGTTCGTCAATACTCTGTTCTGGCAATATGTTACGGACATCCAGCCATGTTATTATTAGCCAAACTATCTTTTTCATTCAAGAGTGCACTTGCCGTAAATAACCTTAATTTACTTCGCATAAAATGTAAATATGAGTATTTAGTTTGAGAAACTGACCAATGTTAACCGACTGTTTGAAGCAAATGACAGCCTCTTCTATTCCTAAGTACTTTAACGAAATCGATGAAGGCTTTACGCACCAAACACTCGGTACACCAGCCAGTTTGTCATCTCATTTTCATTTAACCTTAGCTGAATCACCTCATCATCTCTTTCACTTTGCTTCTACCCTTACCACTGATCAACGATCTCTTACTCTTTTCTTCATAAACGCTCGCTCTATGTACAATAAATTTCCGTACCTTCACTCCTTGCTTTCACTTTGTATACCCTCAGTACTGTTAGTTACAGAGACCTGGTTACCGTCTGTCTTCAGTGGCAGATCATTCAAACCCCCAAGCTACACACACTTCGGACAGGGTAGAGAAGAGGGGCGTGGTAGTCGTTGTCTTATTTTTGTAACAAATTCCACACCGTAGAATTTAGTGACCTGGGTTTCCCGCTGGCAGATGCAGAATTGGTTACAGTGGACACCAACCTAAATACAAGGCTTTGATTGCGATGCACATACCTCCCGCCTAATTCTGATACTAACACAACGAACCATTCGTGTGAAATTTTTGAACACGTCTCTTCTCTAAAATTTGACCATAACATTATGGCTGGCGACTTCAACATGCCTGGTATCCATTGGAATAGCCTAAATGTTCCTACATACCCTGTCTTCTTATAAATACGAAAGAATTTTGCGGCTGGACACAGAATTTTACTCACGCCATACGTAAATCCAACATCCTGGACCTTATTTTCACACACAGCATTCTTACGCTCAGCACTGGAGTTGGGCCTTTATCCACTGATAGCGAACACAACACAGCCATTGCTAACTTTAACCTAGCAGCAAGTGGGCCAGCTAAAGGCCGTCACCGGACAACAAAACTCAGAGGCCTTTTAAATGCTTAGTTGGAAGCGACACTGTCCTTTATCCATTGCCAAAATTAGGATACTTGATTCTTCTCAGCAGACAATGATGTCATTCTTGCTGATTTCTACTCCAACGTATCAGTTTGCTTTAACGAATCTATCCCTTGGTACAAACCTAAAAGAATGTTAAACTCAAATATATATACCGAATGCTACCAGGAACAAGCTAGGAAGACTCCGTGAAACCTATAATAAATTTATGAACTTCTTCTCACTCATCAGCGCCCTAGAAGTTTATGATAAAATCAGATCACACAATGCCAACAAAATTCACAAAGAAGAACTTCTCACCCTTACAAGTAACTGCAAAATTGGTTCTCTCTGCCAACTCTTCGAAAAAAGACTGCAACAAAAACAAGGTAACATTCCTTACATTTTCATAACAATGTTGCTGTCAAGGATGATGCAGGAATAGCTGAACTCCTTGGCAAACACTATTGTGATTCATACACGCATGTTATTTCTGAATTAACCGACTTTGACTCTGTAACAGACAAAACACCGCCGAATACATGCTTGAATGTTGATGTTATTAAAAGTTCTATATGTTCACTGAAATTCTCCCATACTCCTGGACCTGACTCAATCCCCTCAATTTCCTATAAAATGGCGGCCCCGATCTCCTCCTTTTGCATAAAAATTGTCAAGGAACTTATCTCTAAGTTCCTATTGTTACGAAGACGCTCCGCACCGATTAATACTATGTACTTTCTCCGAACTTAACTCCAAAACACCAGTATTGTAAGAAGGAAGTTACATTGTTAGGCAACTAAAAGGGAGAATAATACGAGTTTTATTCGTTTTAGTTCGTCCTCGTCAAACTTGTACACGATCGAAGCATTCGCGCCTTCCAGTTGCCCAACAACGGCTACCAGTTCCCGAAACAAACGTTCAAAGTTCACGTCCATTGACACCCCCCGACAAAAAGGAGTCCATCCCTTTATTCCATAGCGACGATAACCTCAAAATGAACTGCCACTGTGGCCAACCGGGACTAGGCTAAAATGGAAAAGCAAGACAAAAAAGCCCGACACACAACAAGCATACCACATCACACCAGTACGCTCTCCATGGTGTGTGAGATCTTCCTCAGCGATCGGAAATTTCCTTCGCTCTCTGTCCACAGCACCACCACTGATCTGGTCCACAGGGTGTTAGTTGCTTTATATCACTCTGGCACAATCCCCTCCCCGGCGTATCAAATCGCATATACTCACTCTAACATTACTCGATCCGTTCAAAAGTTGAAAAGCATGGAAGCGACTTCAGAAGTAATTACAATAAGATTAAAACATGATACACACAGTGAGACAACTATGAAATAAGCCAACAATTGAATGAATCGGAACACACCCGATTACTTAACGCAAATATGTGTACAATAAATGCATCAAATGTTGTGGATTCTGCCTTGACGAGCTACCCTTGAAGAACTGTAGGACTTACAGCAGTACGCCTACAACACTTCTCAGGTTGACACCCTAGGTTGGAAAATCGTCGAAGAGTTCATTTGCTGACCTCCTTCTATCAGCTATATCCTCAACTCTGAACGGTGACACGCCCATGACATTCTATCGTGGAATGTAGATGACAAACAAACACACGACGTGCCTGATCAACCAAGTGTGGGCACAGAGTAATTTACATTAAAGATAATAGCATTCAAATAGTAACTTGAAACTTGAAATGCCTTTATTCATGCAAGTCAGTTTACCAATTACCCTCTCATACACAAGTGGCTAATTCTCACTAAACCGACCTTTGAATTTCGTCCTTTCGAACAGACCGATACAAGCATAGTCACAGCACAAGACACTTGAGTTCATGGACGTCGACTTCAATGTGGATGACAACACCAACGACGACCGATTGATACCAGTTGGTGAACTTAGCGGTGCATCAGAAGCTGTTGTTGTTCGAACTTTAGAAGGCTGTCTAACTGCAAGACTTCCACCACTGCTGTCTTTTGTTATTAGCTCCAGTTTAGCCTGAACATCTGTCGACAGGTGGGCTACATGCCGATCATTTACACCGACGGTCTTACTAGTATCCATACCTTCTACCACCGCATCTGCTCTTAATTCTACTTCACGTTCAAGTTGTACAGAACCTTTGTTCAACCCAGCAGTAGCAGGCATTCCCCTCATCTCATCATGATCAGCCGAAGACAAGTGTGCTCTATCATTTTTTATTTTTGATTGCAGCTTGATTCCACACCGTACTTTTGGTAAAAGTATGGAATTTTCAGCGTGGATATCGGTAGCCCAAATTTTGCAGGCCAACAATAGATATCAGGTGTGCGTCGGCAGGGATTCGAACCTCGGACCATGTTCGTGGTCGGCGAGAGTCCTAACCACTGTGCCACCGACACATGACCATTGTCACAAATATTCACTTTATCACTGTTCGTTTTAATCGAATTAGTCATTTTTAAACTTTAATAACAGCAGCAGATGATTTGGGTTCTTCCTCATAAATCCTTACTGGTTCGATACATTTACTCTGAATAGTAATACTTTTAAAAACTTGTGGAGTCAGAACTGAACTCTGAAACTGTAACTCTCTTCTTACGCACAAAATGCGGTGTCGTCTGTGATACTATTCAACAATAGCTTACCAGCTGCAACTGCAGGCTTCTTCACCGCACCATTATCGTCACACAATTCGTAGTCAGACCTTGATGGCGCTGATTTCACATTTAGCTTACCACTAAACTTGCCCACTCCTTCACAGTTTGCCTTTCTATGCACTTCTTGCAAACGTGTAAAACACAACCGCGTTTGTCTCGCAACTTGTAACCTATCTGTTGGGGACCTCCCACGAAACCTGTCACACCCATTAGGTTTGTATGGATTACTAAACACCATAAAGCTTTCTCGATATCCACTTCTCTGAGACCCTTTCGTCATAAATGATTGCGTTTCGCTCTCTGACTTCTCTTTTCTTGGTGTGAGATGCAATATACTGGCATACTTGCTCAAAGCTTCGTTGACACTGTCTTTTGCCAGGCTCACAATATCATCCAAACCGGGTTCTAATCCCTCCTCTTCTAGACGGGAGCTGATCTTTATGAACATCTTTGCAGACGAACTGGTTATCTCTCGGCAACAGTCTCAAGCAAGGAACTTGAATTCAATTCATCTACGAAATTAAGAGACACAAGAGTATTTCTACACATCATTAAACTGTCCAAGAATTCTGCGAGTTCCTCTGAATTATCTTTTAACTGCGGTTCATTACAATTCACGGCCTCAAAAATACTACGGGATGTCATAAACGGTGTCAATGTAGTTTAAGATTGAACGATCAATTCATGTTTGTTTGTTCAAACCCAACTTTCCCATATTTTTCGCGGAGACATCAATCCGTCAGTCATCGTCTCATCGTTCGCTGTTCAGTAGAAGATGGAAAACTATCAGAAGTATTGTCGTGATTTATTGTTATGACATTTATTCTTGGAACTTTCTCTGTAATAACATTATTGTTGGTTGCATATTGGCATAAGAACAAAGGATTCTCGAGTAGCCAATCTGTGTTCTGGTTTTTCGAGTTGGTTATTACAAATTAATTCTGAAAGTCTTCCAAGGACAGTGTCAGTAAAGTCTCATAAACCGTCAGTGTCCAACTCTTACTACGCTAGGCCTCACGCTGTTCCCCGAAGCTTCTCAGAAATGCTTAGTACGAACGGACGCAAAAACCAGAATCCAGCTTGGCGACTCGAGAATTATTTATTATAACACCAACATATAGTCAACTTTACAACTAAGGTCTATGAACAAATATTACAATAATGAATCACAATATTACTTCCGACAGTTTTGGCCTGAATTCTTTCTGAACAGCGACCGATGAGACGATGACTGGTGTATTGATGTCTTCGTGAAAAATATGGAGAAGTTGGGTTTGAGCAAACAACCATGAATTGATCGTTCAATCTTCAATTACAATGACAAACGTTTTCCCCAGAAGTCAAGTATTTTAACTGAAATGTCATTCGTTCACATACTACTTTTTCGAGGAATTGAAAGTATATGGATCCAAGGATTGCTTTGAGCCCTTCATACCCAAGCAACCAGCCAGTTGAGCATGTATCAATGTAATTCCCTTGATGCTAACGCGGTACATTCGAATCTGGTGAAACTTTTGCACGTGTTTTCGCTGATATTCATTTTTCTGTTCTGTTATATTATCACCAATAATAATGGGCAAAAGCTATAAAAAACATGTTCTTAGGAACACTAGTAATTTAGAAAATAGCTTAAGCTTATCGAGTAACGCATTAACACCCCTTAAATCAGCTGCAGTTAGTAGTTCACCCAATATAAACGGTTCCAACATAATGCTAACCCCTGTAATTCAGGTGGAAGATATCCTGTCACAAAAGGCAGAGATTAGTATCTTAGTCTGCATCATAAATGACATGCAGCAACAAATAAATGAACTCAGGACGAAACTAAATCTACTTTACCTGATACCAGAAACAATCCTCTATCTTAAAAAGGACCTGGGGGATCTCACTTTCCTAAAACTCTTTAAGGTCAGGACTAAACCAACCGATGCTGAATTGGAACATGCTAAGGAGCTAGAAAACGTTATGGACTACTTGTCGAGCGAAGTTGTTAAGAGACTTGCTTCTAAACAGAATGCCATAGTGTACAACATACCTGACAAAGAGCCCATAAAATCGGCTCAGCACTCCTTGTTAAGAGCTGCCAACCTTCTAAGTACACCCTATCAGTGTATTAGACTAAATAAAAAAGAGACAAACCGCACATGTCCCATACTTTTCAGGTTTGACAGCTGTATTATAGCCGAACAATTCAGGAAATCTGAGGATATTTTGGCTTCCACTACAAAATTCAAAAATCTTAAAATAGTCCCGGACAAAACCCCCAACCAACGACAAGTAGCTAAGAACACCATAGATACAAAAACGATTATACCACAAATCGTGAATAGCGTCAGTACCGAAGTGTCAAAGGACACCGTAGCACAAAGTTACACTTGCACTGTAGTAGGTGAACAAACGACACGAGAAGGCGAAGGGAAACCCAAAAAGAGCAGTAACACTGTAATTGGTCTCGAAGTTCGTGAGAACACTCCTAGTAAATCTAATGTAGATGCTCCTACTACCGATAACCTGCAAATATCGGCAGATCACACTGCACCCAGGGCCAAACAAGATAATCCCACCGTAAAAGCAGTAAAGAAGTCCCCTAAAACCAAGGTTTCTCCTCATGCGTCCATATACCTCCCTTGTGACAAGCCCAACAAGCAGCATATAAGCCTAAAAAGTAACTATGCACACATTGCGGCAGGTCCCATAAAGGAAACGGAAGACGTGAATGGAAGAGCTCCTCGTCGAACTAAGAGTAGTAGACGAATTGAGGACGATAAACTGCACAAGGTGAGAACTAACGGCAAAAATAGCTCTACCCTGAAATCTGCTCTAAAGACACCAACTCTATTCATAGATCGCAAAACGCGAATAAAACTAAGGAAACTAAAAAGGAGATTTTATTTATACAAAGAATTTAATGCATTACACCTGATACACGAAATATTTAAAAATTTAGATGAGAGACATAAAATGAAAGCACAAGTCGAGGAAAATAAAGCCCTAGAGGGCACCTCTAAAACCCAGGAACTCTGCAAAATCTTGCAAAAACGGCTGAAGAAGGGTGAAGAAAACAATATCAGTCATTTAGAACACGAAGATATAATTTATGATGATCCCCAGATCATTAGTGAACTCCTGAGTGAGTGGTTCTCCAATAACACCAAAGCACATCCGTCCCCAATTCTCGACATAACCTGCAAAAATAACTACAAGTTAGGTGAAATAAACTTTAATATACAAAATATAGCATCGGCGGTAAGGACATTAAAAGCTAACAGTAGTTGTGGGATAGACGATATACCATCCGTCATATACAAAAACGGTGGTACGGATATGATTGTATTATTACTTAGAATATTTAATATCTCACTAGTGACCGAAACCTACCCTGAAACTTGGAAAAACACATATATATTACCTAAGCATAAAGGAGGGGCCAAAACTAGTGCATGTAATTATAGGCCTATCAATATAACACCAGTCATATCAAGGATCATGGAGAAAGTAATCAAAGACCAAATGTCAGACTACTTTCTAAAACATAAACTCATCAACCTGTCACAACACGGATTCCTCAAGAAAAGATCTTGCGTCACTTGCCATATAGACTTTTTCAACGAAGTCACCTATAGAAGAGATAGGAGAGAGCTAGTGATTATCCTCTATTTCGATATAAGGAAAGCCTTCGACAGAGTCCCACATAGTCTGTTAGTCGGTAGGCTATGCTCACTAGGGATACGCAACCCCCTCTACAATTGGATAAAATCATTTCTGTATGACAGGAATCAGACAACTAAAGTTGGCTCAATGACCTCCAGACCTAGACCAATCAGCAGTGGTGTCATCCAGGGGAGTGTATTGGGACCCCTTCTTTTCATTATATACATAAACAGTATATGTGAATGTTTTAGTATAGGCAAGCCAATACTGTATGCAGATGACTTGAAGGTGACATATACCTGCACAAATACAGATATCGGCCCAACTATGAACTCCATACATGAAGAATTAGCAAAAATGGATAGATGGTGTGACACGTGGAGACTTGAGTTTAATGTTGAAAAGTGTGGATGGCTCTGCATAGGCTGTTCCAACCTTGACCTCAACCTAGCAATTCAGGGCCACAAAATCCCCAGACTCAAATCTGTACTAGACCTAGGACTGAAATATTCACACAATCTATCATTTTCAGAGCATATCTCGAATCAAGTGTCGAAATCACGAAGGCTTATTGGTTTCCTACTCAGGAACTTCTACAGAAACGAGTCCAGAATACTACTGTACAAGGTATGTGTGCGCCCACTCCTAGATTACTGCTCATTCATATTCAGCAGTACACGCATAGAAGACAAACTGAAAGTAGAAGGAGTACAGAGGTACTTCACGCGAAAAGTACTCGGAACCGATAACGGCACAAACTACTCTACCAGATGTGAAATCCCGGGACTAGAAACATTATGGTTAAGGCGACTGCGACTAAATCTGTTACTCTTCTATAAGCTTCTTAACCAAATAGTGTATACCCCTGCTAACTATACTCGGTTCTCAGGTAACACAGGATACAACCTTAGGCACACTAAAGGTACAGTGGCTATAGAACCATGTAAAACAGCCACCAGGCAAAAGTTTTTCTTGATTAGGTATGCCCAAATATGGAACAAACTACCTGAGAAAATACGACTAGCAAGCACATTGGCCTCCTTTGAAAAGGCACTTAATGACACACTAAGTGAGTTTGTAATTGATACCAATGGTAATTCCCATGTAAGAGTTTCAGAAATCATAGGCCCATTTAATGTATGAACTCAGAGACTACACCTGTTGTTTGTTTTGTCTCTATTTATAATTCCAGACAAAAAAGCAGCAGTCATGACAATAACACCCATTCAACCAAGAGTCGATCAAACTATGTCTACCTGATACAAAGGGCGAACCATAATCAACATACGAATGAAATATGAGAAAACAAGGTAGAAACTTACCGCAACACCACATGAAAAGATAAAAGTTACTTGGATATCATTTATAATCCACCAACTGGTCTCCTACCCAAAAAGAATGCGGCGATGTTTTATCCAAAAAGGCGAGGAAATACATAAACCCACAGCAGCTGTTGTTAACACTCAGTGGGGGTAGGAGCCAACAAAGTAATCCTTTCAAAGCATATGTATACTTCAAATGGGCACGGAGACTTTGTAGAATACGTCATAATCCAAATCACTGCCTATACGGTCGCCGTCTTCTGAATAATTTATGAAGTCATTTTTAAATTTTTTCAAAATATTACTTTTTTATAAATCCGATATCTTACTGTATAAAATATAAAATTGCTTCACTCTATTGGCCTTCGTTTATATCAGTAGCATGACCCTTGAATGTAGTGAGAGAATCGTAAAGCAGTAGTCGCTAAGTTCGTAGCTTTGGTGAGTTCGATTGCATTAGTTACTATAAAGGATGACAGTGTTTAAGCACTTTCTTAGGTCATTAGTAGGACGCAAAGTAACTCCAATGATACGTGCGCTTGCCTAGGAAAAATGAGGGCATCTTTTCGTTACGGAAATAGCAGTAGTGGATGAAAAGGTCGTTTAAAAAGTGGGCAATTTGTTCGTTGAAAAGGTGGGAAAACGGGGAAAAAGTGGTTAAATTGTTCGTTGAAAAGGTGGGAAAACGGGGAAAAAGTGGTTAAATTGTTCGTTGAAAAGGTGGGAAAACGGGGAAAAAGTGGTTAAATTATTCGTTGAAACGTGGGAAAACGGATAAAAGTGGGTACATTTGTTATTCCGGCACATGGGATAAGTGGGTAAAAACGTGGGTAAAGTGGAAAACTGGGAAAAAGTGGACAAAACATTTTTTACTGACATGGGAAAACGGGGAAAAAGTGGGAAATGTGGCCAAAATGGGTAAAATCGGTTGCATTTACACCATCTTTTGCCCACGTGTTTGCCGATCAAAATTACCCTTTTATCCCACGTTTTGCCCAATTTGCCCATGTAAATTAACCAACTGGGAATAAACCTGGATACCTATGATATAACGAAAACATGCTAAAAGCTGCATCCCAGATCAAGTTGATTCATTCGATGGTAATGATCTACTCCTACATGCCTTATTTGACATCTTGAATGGAATGGTTCGCAGTTATTCTGGTACTAGATCGAAAAGAATAAAAAATTCACCGGTTGCTGAATCAAAAGAACGATCCAATTCTACCATTTAAAGACGCTGGCGAACATGCTGTAAATGAGTATTCATGATCTGAAATGAAGAAGCAACTGGTTTTCAAACAGTTTTTCAAAATTTTATTCAACTTACGAGTACAGTCCGCCATGCAGACACAAATGGAGCAAATGGAGAATTCTGGAATCGACCTCGGCACCATTTGATGCAGTAAAACAACCCAACATGACCTTATCTAGTTTTCGCCTCCACGATCAAATTTCTTTCCTGTTATGAAACTACGATAAGACTGCTGAAAAATGGAATAGATATATTACTGATCTCAACATAATACATCAATAATCTTTAAGCCAAGGGTGCTGTTCACAACAAAGTTATATAGGAGAATTGACTTCAAGCTTTATTTTTCCCATATATCTGTATTACATTCATGTGATGTCTGAGTTTTTGTTAATGCGAAGACAATATTTCTATATCTCTTTATGTGCTACACAAACAGACTTTATAGCAGACTGTTCCGACTGACTCTAATGTCAGAAAGAACAACCAAACTGTAAGTCCATTATACATAAAATTATGTGTAATTTATATAATAACTTATCCATGCCTGTACAATTGGTATGTTCCTGCATAAACAGGAAGGAATATATTATTATTATTAAAACAATATTTATGCATGCCTATAGAATTGGTGTACCCTACATAGCTAGGGAAAAAAATGTACCTTATTATGTTATCTTTACTAAATATGCTTATTAATATTATGAGTAAATTATCGAATTGATGATGCCTGTAAACTGGCGTCCCTCATGTAAAAAATGAGAATATATATTATTATAATTATTATTATTAAACGCGCATAACACAACCGTGTTTGTCTTGCATCTTGTAACTTATCTGTTGAGGATGTACTACGAAACCTGTTACACTCACTAGGTCTATATTCATTACTAGACATCATGGAGCCTTCTCGATATCCACCTCTCTGAGGCCTACTCGTCATCAATGATTGCATTTTGCTCTCAGACTGCTCTATTCTAGGGGTGAGATGTAATAGACTGGCGAACTTGCTCATAGATTGACTGACATTAGTATTTACCAGTTTCAGGATATCATCAAACTTTGGCTCGATACCCTCATCCTCCATACGGGAGCTTATCTTCACCCACTTCCTTTGCAGTCGAGCAGGTAGGCGTCTTGCTATTACTTCTAGTATAAAACTCGAGTTGAGGTCACTCATGCGATTCATCGAAATCATTGCATTCTTGTAAATTAGCAAATTATCTAAAAACTCAGTGTGTGCCTGGGAGTCATCCTGTAATTGACCACCATTACCCTTAACAGCCTCGAATAATTTCCCTGCAATCATCGAAGGTCTTCCAAACCTTTGACGTAATATGCTCATAGCCTCGTAGTAGCCCTCTTTTGGCTTCATAAACTTACAGCACTGTATAGCTCTTGCAGCATCTCCAGTGCAATATCTCATCAAATACATTAACTTCAATTCATCATTTAATAAAAACCACTCAACATGATCTCAAACTCCTTTACAAATTGTAAATAATCAGCTGGGTTTCCATCAAAACATCGTGGTTCTAATTTAGGGAGTTTGATGTTCCTATTATCCCTGAACGGCGAAACAGTAACATCAACCATGTCATGCTTAACATCAGACACATCGTTACAATTAACAGACAAGTCACCATGACTTACTTTCCTGTTTGCATCCAAGACACTCTGTCCCTTCTTTGACCCAGGCATTGTTGAACTTGACCCAATTCCAAAAAAGTTCCAGATATTGCTTGTTCAAAGAGGACTTGACCGGCACCAGGAAAGATGAACGGTGACTATCCAAACTTTCACCAACTGTCTGAATCCGCCAAATCTGTTTCTACCATCAGAAACTGTCAGCCACGTCTCGTAAACCGTTAATGCCCAGCTCTTGCTACGCTCGGGCCCACGCTGTTCCTTGAAGTTTCAGAAACGCTTAGTAATAACGGACGAAAAAACCAAAACACCGATTGGCCACTCGAGAATTCTTTATTGTTACACCAACATATAAAAATAATAATTGAACTAAGGTCTGTGAACAAATATTACAATAATAAATCACAAGATTACTTCTGATGGTTGTCTCCTGACTTCTTTCTGAACAGCGACCGATGAGACGATGACTGTCGTATTGATGCCTCCGCGAAAATTGGGGAAGTTGGTTTTGAGCAAACAACCATGAATTGATCGTTCAATCTTCAACTCCATTGACACTCCCCGGCAAAAAGGGATCCAACCCCTTTTTCCATCACGACCAATACACGTTGACTTGGATGCCATTGCGAGAACCTGGGTCACACGGACAGAGCTGAAATGGAAAACAAACAGAAAAGCCAACACACCACAAGCATACCCACAGCACAATCTCACACATCGATGACGACCTCCGCCTTCCAGTTAAAGGTGTCCTCTCGACATCTTGCAACACAATCGCCACTTGCTAGAATGACTCTTGCAGAATGCAACGTGACCATAGCACCAACTCATGATACTCTACGCACATCCTCTTATCTACTCACTACCAATTACCACTGCAATCGCTTGTCACTCATTCTGCCTCAGTTCTAGTAGCGGTGACGAATGCGAGCCTCAGTCGTTTACACTCTTTCTCCCCGGCGTGTCGGACCGCAGCTAACAATTATCTCCGTATGCATTTCATTCTCAGCAATAGCCTCCCCGGCGTATACGACCCATCTGCTGTCCTTAACATCAATCAATTCATTCATGGATGTAGAAGACTCGAAACAACTTCAGAAGTAATCACGACGAAAATTTTAACAAAATTACGCAATAACAACAAGATACGAAAACAACAAGTAAACACAATGAATTCCAAAAACACCAATTGATATGACACACCACACGTATATACAAATAGTACAAACAACCTCGCCGATCATGTCTTGGTGGAATTCCTTTGAAGAATTGCAGGACTTACACCAGTACGCCTACAACCCTTCACAGGTTGACGATTGTAAGTTGTGGAATGTCCGGACATAAGCAAGATTGACCAACAATTACAATAATTGGAACCCACACAAGTATTTAACACAAACATATGTACAATCAATACATCAAATGTTGTGGATTCTGCCTTGACGAACTACCCTTGAAGAACTGTAGGACTTACAGCAGTACGCCTACATTCCTTCTCAGGTTGATGATCCAAGTGGAAGTCGTCCGGACACAAACAGAATTACCAACAGCTAGATGACAGATGATATCAATTCAGTATATACAATATGAACATATGTACAAAATCACACACCAAGCACATTGGACTGCTCATTGATGCGCTACCCTTTGAAGAATTGTAGGACTTACAGCAGTACGCCTACAACCCTTCTCAGGTTGACGCCCTAGGTTGGAAAATCATTGCAGAGTTCATTTGCTGATTTCCTTCTATCGTCTATATCCTCAAATCTGAACGGTAACACGCCCATGTCATTGTGTCGTAGAATATAGATGACGAACAAACACACGACATATCTCATCAACCAAGTGTAGAAACAGAGTAATTTACACCAAAGATAATAACATTCAATTAGTAACTTGAAACTAGAAATGCCTTTATTCATGCAAGTCAATTTAACAATTACTCTCTCGTTTACACTTGGCTTATTCTCACTAAACTGAGCAATATCTTTCGTCTTTTCAAACGCACCAATACTATCATGGTCATTGCATAAGGCATGTGAGTTCACGGACGTCCATTTCATTGTGGATGAAAACACCAACGATGACTGAGTGACACAAGGTGATGAACTTAGCGGTGAATCAGAAGCTGTTCTTTTTCGGATCTCAGATAGTTGTCCAACTGCAAGATTACCACCACTGCTGTCTTTCACTACTAGTTCGGGTTTAGCACTATCATCTGATGATAGGTGGGCTACATGCTGATCAATTACACTGACTGTCTCACAAGTATGCACACCTTTTGGAACTGCATCTGCGTTCAATTCTACTTCACTTTGT